CCTTATAGCAGCCTGTTTGCCTACCTATCGGCCGCTAACCAAATTTATTTGGCGTCGCGTTCTCAGGAAGCGCAGCCAGACGGGCGAATCTCTGCATACTGGAACGGGCCACAGGGCCAGCCAACTGCGACCGGGCCTCGGGTCCACGCATAATGAGTCGAAGTTTCCGTGGATGGAGGCATCGAGAAGTGAGGAAGATGTCTTGCGCATGGTGACCCTGGGCAGTCGTTCAGGTGCGGATATCAAGCCGGGGCAAATTGTGGTGGAGCATCACTTTTCGGTGCATTGATTTGGACCTTTCTTGCATTACCTTCGATAAATATTTGCCATCTTTGAATGCTTAATAATTGGACAAGAATATATGTTATCTTTGAGTTGAGATATTTATTAACGAGAGACCTCGGATGTGAGGGCATGCATCCATTTCCTCTACAGATACCCATCGTGGGATGAGTCCCACCTCCGACCGAGCTGGACGGGACACGCTATCCACCTTGCTGTTCATATCTTCCCAAAGAAGAAATGAAGATGTTGGTCAACTTGATCTAGACGAACGATCCAATCGTATTTGCGTCAAGAAGATTCACAAGGCTACAAAGAACACAGAAATCGGCTCAAAAATCCACTGACGCGAGGCCGCCATCATTAGTGGCTGTTCGGGCCACTAGGGCTTGATTGATGTGGTTAGAGCAGAGCCTAAGTTTGGATCATTACCACTCAGCCGTTTGGCTTTATTGCTAGTGCTGACTGACTAGATTGGCCTCAAATGCCATATCACTTATTCCTTCGCTCAATGGGGCAGGTATGATCCGATGAGGCTGTCGAGCTTATTGTGGCTGCAGCTTATTGGTTCTTTTTAAATATCCTCACATCGTTGGCCTGCCGTTATCTATCTCCACCCCACATACCAGAGAGCACAAAGTACTCCACAAACATCCCTATGTGCAGCTCCACTGGCTATCCGAAGCCCACTTAAGTTCCACTTATTCTAGTCGGCATGTTCCGCTAAACATACGCTGGTGCTTGCTTGGGTTGAAGTAGGTGCGGGCCCCTCGGCCACATGGTCCCAGCTAAGCTGACTACTCTTTCACTCAACAACACTATATAAACACTACAAGCTGCGCACCTCAATCAGATCTCAAATACACTGGAAACCAAAAGTGGTTTTGACCATGACTGTCCAAGATGCCTCTCAGTTTGATCCGCGGACGCAACTGCTCCCTCATATCGTTGACCACTACGCCAAGGTCAAACCCGACGCCATCTATGCTGAATACCCAGTCTCTCTGATGAGCTACGATGATGGATACCGGCCCATCACATTCAAAGCATTTGCAAATGCCATCAACGGCATTGCCTGGTGGCTAACGGAGAAGCTGGGTCCCGGTGACGGTGAAACCCTCGCTTACGTGGGACCTAATGACCTGCGGTACCCGGCATTGGTATTGGGTTCTGTGAAGGCGGGATATCGCGTATGTGATATGACTTGGAACTTTGAAATAGTCAAGCTGACTCTGTATTGTCGAAGATGTTCCTCACCTCCCCAAGGAACAGCGTGGCTGCTCACAGTAGCCTGTTCAACCGCCTCAGTTGCACTAAGCTAGTCACCCCTGTGCCCCATCCACCGCCAGTCAAGGCCATCCTCGAGGGACAAACGCTGGATATACTGGAGGTGCCTAGTGTCGATGAGCTGATAAGCAAAGAATATGCTCATTTTGAATTCTCTAAGACTTACCCGGAAGCTGCAGGGGAGGTTCTCGCCGTAATGTACGTCCCTGATTGTCTGTGCAGTGATCGAAGACTAAACTTGCAGTCATACATCTGGCTCCACAGGTATCCCAAAGCCTATCTTCTGGACCCATGACACCGCGTGCAAGCATATGCATACGACGGTTCTGGATCCCCCAAGGGGCCATGAGAGCCAGGATAGCTGGCTCTTTGGCAAGCGGATATTCCTCGTTCCGCCACCATTCCATGTAAGTCTGCGTTGCATATTTGCAGAAAATATAGGAAGCTAATAACGTCATAGGCTGCGGGTCTGGCATATTCGCTTTTCATTACCATTCCAGTCGGCACTATCGTCATCTTTCCGGCATCTGGCGGTCTTCCTACCGCCGCCTCCCTTGTAGAGGCAAGAAAGAAGACTCAGATTGATATTCTCTTGGGTGTTCCTTCCATCATCCAAGAATTCTCCCAGAGCCCGGAGCTTTTGGACTACTGCAGCAAGCACCTTGAACGCTTGGTTTACTGTGGTGGAGATCTTCCCCAGCCAATCGGGGACGCCGTGGCATCCAAGATTAGAATCATGAATCTTTACGGTGCCTCTGAGGTCGGCATGATCAGCACCATCCATTCCAAAACCAATAGAGACCCTCGCACGGATTGGCGATACCTTCACATCAATCCCCGGATGGGAGCAGAGCTTCGCCACGTCGCCGATCAGTACTACGAACTAGTGATTGTCCGAAGCCCGAAGACTGAGAAACACCAGCTCACCTTCACAGTCTTTCCAGATCAACAGGAATACCGCACCAAAGACCTCTTCGTGCGGCACCCGGACCCCAGTAAGCCGGACCTGTGGCGCTGGGCCGCTCGTGCAGATGATGTGATTGTCTTCTTGAACGGCGAGAAAACAAACCCTGTGTCTATGGAACAACACATCGCTGCATCCAATCCAGAAATTACCGCAGTCTTAGTGGCTGGGGCACGTCGCTTCCAAGCATCTCTCCTAGTTGAAATTGGAGGCAAGGATCTCAGTGCACCTGAGCGCGCTGCGATGATTGAGAAATTCTGGCCAAGCATTGAAGAAGCCAACGCGGTTTGTCCAGCTCATGCACGCGTAGCCAAAACCCATATTCTATTCACAAAGCCAGACAAGCCCATGCTTCGTGCCGGAAAGGGAACAATTCAGCGAGCTGCATCGCTCGAACTGTACACGTCGGAGTTGGATGCCCTGTATGCCGACGCGGACAGACTATCGCAGACAGCCAGTAATGGCGAACCTGCTGGACCTGGCCAGGTGGACGATCCAAAAATCCTTTCGGATTATATTAGAAGTACAATCAACTACGTTACTGGGTGGGACCTCACAGATGACCAGAATTTCTTCGAGCTGGGCCTTGACTCCCTGCAGGCTATCACCGCCACTCGGGCCTTCAAGAAGGGCCTTGATCTCCCCACGCTCACTCCAAACCTAATTTATCTCCATCCCTCTGTGGATGAACTCACCCAGGCAGTGCTTCACTTGCAGCAACATGAGGAGGCTTCTGCTGAGGAGCGAAAAGAAGCCCAGCTGCAGCAGCGGGAAGAACTACTACAGGAGCTCAGTAGCCAGTTTCAAGCGCCCAAGTCCCATGTGGTCATTTTGACCGGCTCGACAGGTAACCTGGGAAGCTATCTTCTCGACACTCTCCTACAATCCCCTTCCGTTGCCTACGTGCATTGTCTGAACCGCACACCTTACGCAGGGGAAAGCCACCGCGTAAAACATAGCGGAATGAAAACCGATCTGTCTCGAGCGAGCTTCTGGACTGCGGACCTTTCCCAGCCGGACCTAGGCCTGGGACCTGATGTCTTCAAAACCTTGCGAAACATTGCCACTCTAATCATCCACAACGCCTGGGCAGTCAATTTCAACCTCAGCCTGTCTTCCTTCAAGCCAAACCTCACCGGTGTGCTAAACTTGATCAACTTCGCTGCCCAATCACATCAGTCACCCCATCTCTTCTTCCTATCATCCATTAGCTCCACTATGGGCCACTACACAGAAACCGGCCTAACCCCGGAAGAAGTGATCACAACTACGACCCCCGGACCCAACGGCTACGCAGATAGCAAGTACCTTGCAGAACAGTTACTAGCGCAAGCGGCTCGCCAGGGCCGACTACACGCCTCATTCGCACGTGTCGGTCAGATAGCAGGGCCGGTCCGTTTCAGGGGAGTATGGAACAAGACAGAATGGTTTCCGAGCCTCGTCCTCAGCTCTTATCACCTGGGTATATTGCCTGATACACTCGGACCGGCCCTCAATCGCATCGACTGGGTACCGGTTGATCTGCTTGCTGAAGTCCTAGTGGACTTGGCAGTGGCTTGTCGACGCGGGGAACCTGGATCTGTCCAGGTGTATCACCCACTGAACCTACACCCGGTAGACTGGGAGGCAATTCGTCCAGTAGTCGCCGAAGCCATCTTTAAGGTTTCAAGAAAGACTATCAAGTCTGTCCCCTTTACCGAGTGGGTGCAGCGCGTCCGGCAGGATTTGGAGACGGCTGGTGGTACCGGCGAGAAGATGAGTGAAGAAGAGCTGCAGAAACGATTGGCCAAAAATCCAGCCGCAAAGTTGCTGGAATTCTTTGAAGGGGTTATGTCGCAGACTGAGCGAGTGAATGTGCTGGATACAAGGCTGACGGGACAGGTCAGCGAGAAGTTGCGGGCTGTGGATGCAGTGAAGCCGGAATGGATGAATGTGTGGGTGGAGGAATGGGTTCGTCGTGAGTTGGTTGTGGATTGGTCAATCGTTGGTCGTGAGTTTAAGGGTGTGTGGAAATAAATTTTACGAATGTAGTAATGTTCCAGAGAGTGATATGCTGGTCTTCCTTGCATATAACAGTGCTGCGTTTGAGTATGAAGGCTGGCCAAAGGCCTTCAGTATATCTATAAAGAAGACAGAGTAAACCTATCAATTCGCACACAGAGGGAGCACTTTTATGACACTCATGCACATTACATACATGAACCGAAGTGATAGTTCAACTTCACATAGCGGTAATCCTCTAGAGCCTGTAAAGCATGATTGCCTAGGTGGGATGTCGGGTGAGGAACCCGACGCTGTCTCGGATGGTACCCGAAGATGTACCTGTTGTATGAACATACTCAGTCCACACAACGCTATCAGAAGAGGAATAACCTCAGACAAAACTGGCAACCGGCACCCCCAACACCTCCATCCTCGGCGTAACCCCCAACCCCGGACAAGTCGGCGCTGTAAGCACTCCCTCATGAACATCAAACGGCCCATCCGCCGTCTTCCCAACACACATAGCCCTACACTCCAAAATACATCTCAAGTATTGCTCCGGTATAGTCTGTCCCAGATGCACAATGGCCGCAAACGCCACGTCCGAACCACTCGTATCCTGAACAGACATAGTATATCCCGCCGCCAGACAGATATCCCTAACCCTGCGACCTCTCGTCAACCCACCCGTCTTGGATATCTTCAGTCCGATCCCGTCAACAGCATCATCCGCAACGAACTGCACAATCGAGCTCTCATTATTCGCCAACTCATCAAAGATAATCGGCACGTCAATCCGACGTCGCAGTGACATGCTCTCCCTGTACGTAGCGCATGGCGCTTCCAGAACGAAATCTAATCCCCTAGGAAGTAACCTGAACATCCGCAGCGCAGTATCAACCGTCATCCCGCCATTAGCATCAATTAGAAAGAACTCTCCGGGCTTTTAATCAATCAGGGCAGCCTCCACCCTCGCAGCATTGGTCACAGGGTCCGAACCAATTTTCACCGAGAAACCCGTGAATCCCATTGCCCTGGCATCAGAAACATGCTTGCGCGTCCCCTCGGGGTCTGCAACGGGGATCGACTCCAGAACAGGGAGCTTCGTCTCTGTCCGTCCGCCAAGCAACTCACACACCGGCAGTCCGACAGACTTGCCGAAGATGTCCCAGCAGGCAATGTCGATGGCGGATTTGGCGGGCTCGTTGCCTAGCAGGGCAGCGTCCATGGCGTCGTTGAGGCGGTCGACTCGGCGGGGGTCTAGACCGATGAGCTTAGGGGCAATCTCTGCAATAGCGGCGCGAACACCGCCAGCGTGGGACGCGATGTAGTTGTCGAAAGGGGTGCTTTCGCCCCAGCCTTCGAGGCCGGTGTTGGTGGTGATGCGGACGAAGGTGGCGTCGAAGCGGGTGATGGCGCGGTTGCCGGAGAGATGGTAGGTTCCGTGGGAGTAGGGGAGGTCGACTTGGAAGACGTCGATTCTGGAGATCTTGAGGTCGGTCATTTTGATGGCGTGTAGTAAGATGGATCTGGGTTCTTTGATTGTTAGTTGGTAGAGAGTTAGGGTTAAGTGAGCTCTTATAGTACTTAGTAGGTTTATATTTCTGACTGTCGGATTTTCGGGAGCTTCGGCTTCGGGATGGTTGGGGCTGTTCAAGGAGAAAGTGTCTCATGACCTCGCTTTCTCTGATGGAGCATAATATTAATAATACTTGTTATATGGATGAAGAGGGGTCATGATACTACATCCGACCCTGGACCCTTCAATATCCGATTGACATGGGGCATCCTTCTACGGCTCACGGTCCGAGCCGACAAGGTCCAGTCGCCGATCGATCGCCGACTAAGATTTCTAATAGATCACTCACTATTAGACATCCGAGGGCTACCGAGACCCGGTAGCCTCTGTACCCAGCCGATGGCAAAAGGCGGGGATATTTTAATACATATAGGCTGAATAGGGACGTTTTGAGCCAATAATATGAGATGTCTCCATATTGAATGTGATATAGACCGGGGCATTGACTGCATTTGTAACAGACTGTCTGACACCATGCCCGTCGACGAAAATGCACAATGTTCGACATACACGGGGAGGTGCCTATGCAAAGGAGTCGGATTTACAGTGAAAGGCAATCCAAATGCAGTTTTCTGCTGCTATTGCGGTGATTGTGCTCTCGGGGCTGGCGGACCTTGTCAGATCGTGCGTATAGACTCTTTCTCTTCTTTCTCCCGGGAAATATTCAGCATCACATGAAATAGACTGATAACATTGTTATGCTGAAGACTGCAACATACTTCACACCGAACTTCACACTTTACGATCCAGAGGGGCTTGCCAAACGCTACATCGTCAATAATACCCTGAGTGGACGGTCGAAAGTCAAGTGTTTCTGCAGCGGCTGTGGGTGCACTATATACACGATCCCAGCGACTAATGGGGAAGAGGAGATAGTTGTAAGGACAGCTTTGATCAAAAATGGGTACGTGAGATGACTATTCTTGTCTTTCATGATCGAGCGACATGCGTATTGATGATGATATTACCAGCCTGGAATTGTTTAAGCCTACGATCGAGTGCTATGTGAGAAACCGACCGAGCTATTTCTCTGCTACCACAACAGGCAGGCAGTATGACCTTATGCCTTTGAATGAATGATGTGGTAGGGAATCTGGGGTTGATGGGTAAGGGTTATCTATATGTTTCACTGGGTCTTCAGTCAGTGCTTAGGATGGTAACTACCTTGTTCTGTTTTATTTCTAATTCCCCCGGATGAGCGAGCCCTGAATCATCCTCTTAACTGATGGTCGGCGTGTTTTCGACTTCAAATACCCGTGCACTCACCCAAATGCCATTCTGCAGTCCCTCAAACAACTTAATTCTCACCGCATAAGCCACATGGGGCCAAAAACCACGCATTATCCATTCAGGGTAGTCGCTCAAACACTGCAACTTGGAAGACCTTACCTTAGCAAGCCTAGAGTGTAAAAAGTCAGGTATTGACTAGATTAGGCTCAAGTATTAACGCTGCCCCCTGCATCAGTCCAGCGGCAGCTCTACCCATACAAGGCAGACTAGGGCTTACAACATACGACCTTTTGGCCCCCAAATGTCCTCACATCCCCGCGAGTATTCCAAATATAACATGACAAAAGTTAGACATATATTATCAGTGCTTCCGGCCTTCGTAGTACGCTCTTACATACAACCCAGCTAGCGACTATGGCCGATTCAGGCAGCTGGCAGCGCTACAACCGAGATGCTTCAATTTCTATTACAGTGTTGGGTGTTGTCTTCGTGGGACTGCGATTTTCCTCGAGGCATTTGGGAAAGGTGCCTCTGGGATTAGAGGATGCACTGATTGTGGCTGCGTTGGTATGTTATCCTCCACCATACGCAAAGCCCAATTTAACGATGAAACGTAGTTTAACTTATTCATCATTTTCGTACTCGACTTAGTGAGTAGGTTACCTCTTCACAACAATTTCTCCTTTATTCTTTTATCTTGGAATAATACTAGAACCTAACAGTGGTAAAATACGGCCTTGGCTTACACCAATCTACTATCCCCATAGATGACATCATAACCATCAACAAAGTAAGCCCTATCACTTCACATTCCCTTCTTAAGAAAGCCATTCTGATACCATAGCAGCTCCTACTCCCCGCAGAAGTATTCTACTGTACCTCCCTCATCCTCACCAAAACCTCCATCCTAGCAATGTACCACCGGATCTTCCACATCCATCAGCCCACACGCATAGCCGTGTACGTCCTGGGAGCGATCACGATCATCAGAGCCGTATCTCTCATTATTGCCTCCATCTTCCAATGTATTCCTGTCGCTCGGGCATGGGACAAATCCCTCCCGGGACGGTGCATTAATCTAAAGGATACATTCATTGCAAATGATATTGTGAATGCTATCACTGATGTGGTCATTCTGGGGCTTTTGATCGGCAGAGTATGGAAAGTGCAGGCTGGGTGGGGGGTTAGAATTAGTGCGATAGGGATGATTTCTTTGGGTGGCTTGTAAGTGGATCCTTTTTGTTCAGCCCATACTTCTTGCTGTTGTTATTGAAAGTGGTGGTTATATACTGACGATGCCAGCATAGTGTGGTTTTCACGAGCATATATCGCATCATCACGCTAGTCGATATCGATTTTGATGACTTGACATGTACATTGGCCCGTCTATCCCTTGGCTAGCTCCAAGTAACGTGCTGATGAATCGCAGATACTTTGGGCCGATCGAACGCATGGTGCGTTATTGAAGTATCTTCGGGGATTATATCTGCTTGTCTCCCAACTCTGCGTCCGCTGGCAAGGGCTCTGTTTCCCCGAGCGTTCAGCAGAAAGCTGTCCTCTCAAGGACAGGGGAATTCAAGCTATCCTAAACCAGGGAATGGTGGGTTATCAGGTGATTCTAGCAGAGACAGAGTGTATAAGAGACCAGATGTGGGTGTGGAGTCTGATGGGGATGAGTACCCATTGACAGTGGTTAAGGTGAGAGGGAGAGTCGAAGGAATCGGGTTTCGATAGCGACTGGGTATTATGTTGGGCGAGATTATTGTCCATCACAAATAGCGCTTCCTCATTACATTGCTAGACACTCTGCTTCAGCCCTGATACACAGCAATCCTTGATTTCACTCGTTGAATTCTAGAGGGAGTAAAAGGTTTATTCACTTCCAAATACTACCTTGTCTTCGCAGGCTATACCATCATCCGACTGAGCTGCCTCGTTTCCCGCTTCCGTCCCATCAAGAAATTTTTCAAAAGGCAGAAACGCCTGGATTATTCTGTCACGTTTGTCCTGGCGTTCAGAGAACGAGTCGCACTTTGTGTGTGCGTAAAACAAGGCCGTCCGTCCCTCGTTATCGCGCAGCTTCCAGTCAGCGCCGCTTTCTAAGAGGATAATGACCATCTCGTCGTAGCACGATCGAGCTGCATACATCAAAGCAGTTCTTCCCCAGTCATCCTGAATGTCGAGCTGAGCGCTGAATTCCAAAAGGGAACGAAGGCAATCAGTGCTTCTACTGTACATACAGCCATAAATCAGGGCTGTTTTGCCATTCACATCCTGGCGGTTCACGTCTGCACCCTTTGCTACTAGTTGACGAACGATATTACTCCAAGATCGATCAACAGCTTGATATAGCGGGGACCATCCCTCTTTATCTGTGCCTGCCTCGACGTTTGCCCCACTTTGTATCAGCAAAGCCGTTACTGCCTCGTGATTGTATCGCATAGCGAAGAGCAGTGCCGTCTGACCGTCATTGTCTTCAATATCCAGATGAGCTCCATTCTGAATTAGTGCATCAACGATCTTGTAGCACCCTTTCCGGGATGCGCAAATCAAAGCCGTGGCGCCTGTCTCATTGCGGAGGTCAATCTGCGGCTTAGCTGCCAGTAAGAGACGGGCTTTTTCCACATCTCTCACAAGAGCTGCACGAATCAAAGCGGTCATACCCTTTCTGCACTGGATGTTTAAATTGGAGCCATTTTGTAGCAGTAGACTCAACGCCTCATCGGAGCCACGTCTGACTGCATAGATCAATGCTGTTTCACCAAAATTGTCTTGTGAGTCAAGCTGAGGTTTGTAGTCTAAGAGAAGCCGAACCATCGTGTCGTGTCTTCCAGCCACGCCCGTTATCAGAGGAGTAGCACCGTTGTTGTCTTTGAGATTAATGTCGACACCGTAGTCCAGGAGTAGCTTCACAAATTCTTCTCTTCCCCTTCCGGCTGCATAATGTAAGGGGGTCCGTCCGTACCAGTCAACCATGTTTGAATCGGCGCCCTTCTCTAGGAGAGCTCGCCCGATAGCAAGATGACCACCAACAATTGCCATGTGTAACGGTGTACGCCTACCCTGTTGGCAATTCGGCGAGACTCCTTGGCATAGAAGAGCTTCAACCGAGTCTTGATTACCCATCGGAACTTCGCATATCAATTCATCCTCGGGGGCTCTGATTTTCTCTTGTTCAGGCCCAACATGCCGATTCTCAAGTATATTTGCAACATCTGTGTGGTTATTCAATAAAGCCAGTTGCAGCGGCGTCACACCAAGCTTGTCTTTTCGGTGCCATAAACGAACATGGTCGTAAAAGTACTCGAAGAATTCCTTGCGCCCATATTCTGCGGCCCACGCGAAAACATTTCTTCCCCAGCTATCCTTTGCATTAAGATTGCCGCCGTTCTTGACAAGTTCTTTGGCGATATTAATCAGCCCCAAGTAAGCTGCCAAATGAAGCCCGGTGATGTCTTGTGGTTTTTCCCGCTTCATATCAAAAGAGCGGCTATCCAGGAGGCGCATGTACTGTGCATACAAGGCCACCTTTTCCTTTGACATCAGAAGTGGCAGTAGAAGCTCATCACTTACTGGGTCAAGTCGAGAATGGTAGTCCCAATATTGAGCTGCATAGCTGTAAAAGGGATGCTGTGATACTATGGTTGCGGCGTCCTGACTCATATTCCAGTCACAGGACAGATATGTGACGCATTTTTCGGCGATTCTTCGATGAGCATTTGGAAACCATTCTTCCAAACGATTGTTTATAAAGCCCTGCGCAGTATGATGGACGAGATGAACAACCTCGCTCTCCATGTCGACAGAGACTAACCCCGCGCACACAGAGACCATCAATATGGCATCAACAACGTCTTCCGTATCAACAGACTGACTGCCCGTTTGTATTGCTAATGCATGTTGCAATTCACGAATATTCAGAGGCCTTCCGACACATACGATCCATGAAAGGGCATCTAAGGCCAATGTCCTTAGGTTTGGTGATTGGGCCTCGATACGCTCCATGGTCTTCTCGTACGCCAATTTCTGAAGTTCTAAATTGTTGGATAGTTCTGCTAATGCCCGGTGCATCCGCTTGGGTGAGGCTTGGTCACTCAAGGAATCGAGGCACAGCTTTGCAAAATGGAACCTGCGTTCGTGTTCAGTCAGATGAGCATCAGAAATCAATCCATTCACTGGCCAATGTCACTTACATTCCGCTAGCAGCCCGGGGAGCTTCCTCCAGGATCCTGTCCATCATTGCTTGATCCTGCGTAACAAAGGACGGCAGGGAAGTGATATTTCCTTGAATATAGCTTCGAACATCTTCATCCGTGGCACGTATCTCCAGAGAAGAACAGCCATCCCTTTCCCTAAAGATCTTTTGAATTCCAGGGGCGAAAAGTGAGGTTGCGACTATATTTAGGCCAGTAGCATCCTGAATCCGAAAAAGCTGCGATAGGAATTCCGTCGGTCCTTTCATAGAACTTTGGATCTCATCCAGCGCGTCGATAACAACGTATACCTGCCTATCACTGCTCAAAGAACAAAGAATTTCAACCATCTCGCGTGTTGACGGTTGCGTGGCCCTGGTACTATGCCGACCATAAAGAGTCTGCAGTCCCTTCATCAGTTGCCGGTCTTGTTGGGCAAGCTGCTTAAGAATTGACGCGACAATGTTCCTGGTTCTCTGTTGTGATGGAAATCTGAAGCTGAAGGACACATATCCAAGCGCGTGACTCAAATTGTTGACGTGCCGGTGTGTATCAATATATTCAATGATGGTAGCTGCCATGACCGTCTTCCCTGCGCCAGGAATGCCTAGACAGAGTAGTGTTTGCCCTTTGGCCTGGTACCAGGACTGGAATTTGTCCGATTTCAATAACCACTGACCGGTGCCTGGATGAATTTCCTCGACGATAAAACTTTTGTCGATATCGTAGGGAATTTCATTGAGCCATCCGAGTATTGTCTCATTATGGTTGTGCGTTATCATATCATCAAGTTTGGCGACTCGTTTTCCTACTTCTCTCAATTCCCGCGAAACTGCCCAGTGTTAGCTTAGAGGTTTCCGACGATAAGTATACCTTGACATACAGTCTTCGCTAATCTGAGAAGTGATTTCGGTACTGCAAGGCTCCTCAGCTGGCATGACCCGTAGAAGATCTTTAGCATACGCGGCCGCCATGGCTGCTGCATATCGCTGCCAATGATCATTCTTGTGGTCGTCCGAGTAGTCTGCCACACCTCTAATAATCACACTTGGAAATTCGTTCATAAGCCCAGCCGCTTCCATCTCAAAGCAGCATACACCCCATGTGTCTCTCAGATGATCACGATACGAGGCAGACCTCATGACAGCATTGCCAGAGGCAATGAGTCCATAGTGTACTACCGGCTTATCGGAGTCACGGTCAAGACGTGTCTCCAACTTCTCAGTGCCACAGCTCGAGCAATCCAGTCCCTCTGTGTGCGGGTGATTTGGTTTGTATAGCCGATCGAACTCGCGGCCGGGGAAGTGAAAGCCCCACGATCGCAGTCTGCTAGATCTTCGACTGACATCTTCGTAGTAATCAAACATCTTCCCCATCCCAAAGTCGTGGTCACATTGCAGCAGTTTCATAGCGGACAGCAGATGTGGATGAGGCCTATTGAGATGAGATCGAACCTCAAATGATCCTTTCTCTTCCCATCGGCCTTTGTCGTATTGCAGTACACCTCCTTGAGTCTCGTCAGAAAATGGAGCCAATGCCAAATCAATACCACGCATGACCATGAGAGGATTATGTAAGGAGCCTTACCGTGGTTTCCCTTTGGTTCACTAACAACGACATCTCCTAGCCTGATGTCATTTAACGGGTTCTTAGGATCAGGGACCGAAGGTGCCGCTCCGCCAATGCCAACCATCAAGCCAAAACGAATGTTCTGAAACGTTCGTACCAGATGTGCCACAGTATGAGCAATCACGTCAATACCATACGAACACACCCCTGGCGACACAATAGCTACGTTGTGATTACCCACGCGGCCAAGGACATAAACGTTGTCATCATTTGGCTGTCTGGAAGGCTGTTCATGCTCCTCATCCAGAAACGCCCGAGAAGCGGTAACCTCATCCTTGATCGCGCAGACCCAGCCTACAGTGTAGGCGCTGGGGTCAAGCCTGAGAGGCATAGCTGGACAGTATTGGAGGTGCGCCCAACAGTCATAGAAAGCGTGTGACAACCTCCTGGAGGTGAAAGGATACCGAATAAATAGACTGGTACAGTGGGGGAAACGATATAAAGCTCCAACTCTCTGGGACCGCTCTTAGGCATCAGCCTCACTCATATCGACCCCTTGCGCGCGGGCGCGTACGCCTAGAGGAACAGCCAATCAACCACTGTGGATGCTAGAACAACACATCGCAGCCTTGTACTCTGTACTCGCCTCCCCGCCTCGGCGCTATGGCTCTCGCTGTCACCCAATCATACCGAATGCCAATCGCATTAATTTATGTGTTGATGGTGGATGTCAACACTGAGTGGAAAGGAGATGCGAGAGGGCCGAAAAACTTCTAAAGCAGCCACGACTCGTGAAGTTTCGAGATTTTCGGACATTAATGTTGGAAGAGACGAGTGATTCGCACGTTGTCACCGATACTCGAGGCAGGGCTTTCTACCTGCAGAATAAGAAACATGGGATGATTGGCGTAGAGCGCTCCTTCCTTGCATGCAACACTAGAGTTCTCAGCTACATCACGCGGAAGCCTCAGGAGATCTCCAATAGCGTCAGAGAAAATACTGCCATTCTATGTATGTGGCGTCTTCGACTCTGGTGTCCGGTATATGCTTTGCTTCTTGTTGACAGGTCCACTGATGACCAAAGTACATAAATTGAACATGGTCAAGATAATGAAATCGTCTCTCTCCTCATCTTCGTATTACCATCACCACCCAGCTTTTCTAACTCCGCTCGATCCAGCCATGCAGATCCCACACGCTCATGGTGCCCCTTCCTCCCACCCTGAACTTCCTTCACAAAAAGAACAAAAATCCCGATATGATCCCACGGCGTGCATAGAACAATGCTATGATTTCTTTCGAAGAGCACCAGCCCCGAATATTCCTTCTCTATCACCCCATCCTCGTTTGAACAAGGAGGTGGTCCGCAGAACAGCACCGGAGCACGGGAATACCCATCCCCTATAACAATTCTGACTGCGGGAACAGAAGTAGTCCCAGAAGGAATACTCAAAGCCTTTATCTGGAGGCAATGGAGGACGGTGCATTCAATCTGGAGAAAGGGCGAGATTTCAGGCATAATATTCCCCCAAAGAGCGCTGTTGTGGTTGGCGAAGAATTCCTCTATTGAGATATCCCATACGGAGATATTGTCAATATTCTCACGAAGGTTGAAGCAAATCCATATGCGAACAGACTGATGCCCATCCAGTTCCTGTGGGAGAAGATCCTCCTCTGCACAGCCAAATCTCCTGTCCCAAAGAAAGTAGTGATATGAGACCTGACCTATCCAGCCTGCCCAGGACCAGCTGGGGAATTCTTTTCTCCGTATTAAGTGTCCATCTTCGCCATTTTTACTACTATTATCTATGCAAGGAGGTTGGTAAATAGGTTCCCAGGACAATGCACAGACGAAACGGAAATTCGGATCGCGCGCTAGAGTATAGGAAGTCTCTCCGCCAAACAAGAACGGAATACCGTAGAAGGTTGGATGATCGGAGCGAGCGAGGATGCCTCGAAAGGCGTTGATAGCATCGGAGTTGTAGGAGAGGCTTCGACTTGAGTAGCTTGATAGGTGTGTACGGAAGGCCCATGGTCGATATGGCCTACTGGAATAGTATGCTGGATGTAGGGGTATTTGATAGGTGAACCGAGAAGAATCGAGGATGTCGTCGCGGGCAGGCTTTGTGGCTGTTTGGGCTGTGGCCATGTGTGACAATTCAACAGGGGAGAGCACGGTCGACTCGCAATTTGTAGTCTCTCCGCACATATAGTAAACCTGAAAGTCGGTGAAGAACAGACATCGACGCGAAAGACTTACTTCCTGAAAGGTCCAGCCACGAGATATCCATGGACTAGAGGCTAGAGCACGTCGTATAGAAGGCAGTGTAGATACCAGCCTCAAATCCCTCCCAGAGGCTGTTGGTGAGGTTGCTTGTGGTTGGCGCCGTCGTGGAACAGCACCAACGCCGGGTAACCCAGAAATCGATATATCAGAACCAGCAGCGATTATAGTAGCGTAAGCGCCAGAATATATCAGATCCATGCGAGATATTTGATCGTGCTTTTCTTGTGCGTTGTCCTGGTCAATGCAGTATTTGTCGACCCAGAGATATCTACCTCCCAGGTTGTTGACGACTCTGATGGCATCTTTGATAGTACCGTGCACTTTATCCGGAAGCACAGCCTCAGACCTTTGTATTCGGACAACTGATTCCTCCGCGGACAGTGGTCCCCATACGTAGCTGAGCGCGAAATACTCCCAACCTGGGTGAAGTGGGACAATTTGCCGGGACTGGCAATCGATCACCTTTAGTACAAAAGGCGGAGGAGTAGGTGAGCAAGTACATCGAGGCCCATGATGACTCTGGCAGCTATCCATCCACTTTTTCAGACGAGTGTAATTGATCTGACTCGGTGACACTCGGACCCCGTGAGTCCGTAAGTTGGCAACATCAGACCCCTCCACCGGCATAATGACACTTTGTTCCAGATGGCTGCAGATATCATGGATTCTGATTTCACTGGTGACGAAAACATCATCACCGCTTCCCGGAAATACCGCGAGAAACACACTGTTTGACTCGTCACTCATATACTCATCCCCCCTGCGAATTTGCTTGATAATATCTCGCCGCTTAGGTTCTGTTGGCATTTCTGTCGTAACTCCTACTTCTTTTATGAGGCTGCTAAAAGCACGTAAATGATATTGGCTGGTATCCCATGCTGATTGGCGAGCTGATACGTCGAGGTCGAACTTGACTTCGTCGAAGAGATCGCACATTAGACATGGCGTGTTTGGGTCTGAAATGATACTACCCAGTGATATTATTGGTAGACCTTCTAGTCTTGCATCTCGGACATCTTTTCTGAGTTGGAAGATAGCATCGAAGTCAATGGTGCGGCACCTTGCGCAGAGAGGTGCGTCTCGTTCCAGGGCATCCATGGTCTCTTGCAACGATAAGAGGTCTTAATCTAGAGGCTTATGGAGGATGTAGCTCATATTGCACATTCAAGCTGCTACTCACTGGGCATGTAAGCAAGAAATGGTTGCAGTCAGCGATGGGCGTCTAGCTGACATGAGCCCCGCCCTGCAGGATCCGACTCTTGGCCCGAGATGCGGGTGGAAACAGATCTAAACGTGGGGGCCAGATGCAAATGAATATAGTAGCGTGGGCTGGAAACATCATCTGGCAATATGAGCAGTTAATTCCCTCAACCATTTTTAAGTAGGGTGTTTTGGATTAAGTTTGCTCTTAAATATAATCGAGAGCGGATCTATGCTAGCAATCTAACTTTACAACAGGCTTATTTCATACAGTTCAATGTGAATGGCCCACATGCAACCTCTCAAAATGATTTTCAACAACTAACGCAAGACGAACCCAGGAGAAAGAGGGTCTTCCTCGTCTATCAAGAACCGCGACTGCGCAATCAGATGTGCCTGGCCCTTCACAAGCACATTGCAGGAATCAAAGCCCCCATGGGAACCACCCCAGGACTCTATCTCCGCTTCAAAAGCCGACCCGATAATGGAGTGATGTAAAAGTTTCTGGTTCTTTCGAAGCCGACCATCCGAGGATAGGAGGGAAATTCTCGCACAAGTGCCAGAGCCGCAAGGGGACCGATCAATCTGACCATCACCATAGACAGTAACATTCCTCTGGACGATTGTCTTTCGGTAATCTGGGTGGTCTCTTTCGTCCTCGAAAAAGATGACTGCGTACAGCTCATAATCAAGATAGGTTGCTCTATCGCCAAGTGCTGCTTTTATCTCTCGCTGAAGTTTGATGAATGCATCCGCATTACCCGGCTTGACCTCAAGACCCAATTCAGCAGCACTCACTGAAGCCATAACAGCACCGGCAAAAGCCAAATCAACACGAATCTCCTCATTACGAGAAGGGATCTTCACAGATAGCCCCTTCTCTATCGGAAAGCTGGCGACATTCATGAAGTAAGCCTGTACTGGCTCTCCATCCTTCATAGTAACAGCCGCTGACACACGGCCAGACGGAACATCAATGACCACCTCCACAACTCCATTCTCTGGAGCCTCGACAAGACCTGTTGACACAGCCCAGAATCCTAGGGCAATGGTACCATGGCCACATGCCGTCGAGAATCCGCTCGTATGCCAGAACAATACACCGAAGTGCGCACCTATGTCGTCTGGCGGAGTGATAAAGCCCCCGTACATGTCAGCATGCCCTCGGGGTTCATGACTGAGAAATTTGCGGAGCCTATCCAACGGGTGGTTCTCGGTCTGGATGATCTGGTTGCGCCGGTCAGAAACGGTTCTACCTGTTGGCATGCACCCTGATGGAACTTCGGGGATGATGCGGAATGGCTCGCCAGCTGTGTGCCAGTCCTCGGACTTAATCCAGTAAAATGGGTTGGTTGTCATTGTATGTGTGATAGTGGAAGAAGAGAAGGTGGTTTGAAATGGGACGTGAGATTGGTGAATATAGATGTCAAGAATATATAACCTCGATTGATTAGGATCCTTTGATATTTTCACATTGGGGTTCCAAGGAGAAATCTGCTTTTTAGACAGAATTTTTGGATATCGAAATAGGAGCTATCCCAAGGTGCTAGCCGGAAACGGCAACAATGTGGTCAGCTCGGGAAGGCCGATCATCCCGCATATCAATTTCATGAGTAATACAATCGCTGATATCTTTGGAAAGAAAAAAGCATATATAAAAAGCAAAAAGACAGGTCAAAGGGGACGGAAAGTCGTCTGAGTATATGTAGTTTTCATAGGTCGCCCTTACCCCACCCTCTGGGAAGGAAAAGAAATAAGAAAAAGCAGACAAATGCGCCAAGACAAGATTAGAGGGAAAACACCTCACAGCAATACGATGACAGCCAAGCATAGGTATGTATATTAGCGGAATTGCAGATGCCGACCAGTATACATATAAACACTGCGTAAATGTACCTATTCCAGGTGGTGATTTCGCCGTCCTGAAGCTAGTCCTTGCCATGATTGAAATTGATTGTGAAGTGCACCATTCCCTCACTCTTGATGCATCGTAATCACCCCTGCTACCATAGTGAAACTATCTCCGGGTATCTACTGATCAACATTCCAATCTCATTCCATCCCCAGCCCCCACCCCGGCCCGAACACCTCCCGAAACACATCCGCAAACCCCTCATCCAGTCCCATCGCAACAGACCCCAGGACCGGATCGCAGCTGCTTCCCACCAGCCCCGATCCAGATGAACAGTGTAGCCTGCTATCCGCAAAATCCCCAATTCCCATGCGAATCCCAACTTTTGCCCGCAAAACACTAAGCAAATGCCTCCCGAGGACGGCCGCAATTCCAATTCTATGAGACGGGGTGCTTCCAGCTTTCTCTAGCTGCAGGGCTACCTGCCCTAGCAATCCTAGCAACTCGCCCTCATCGCCGGCATGGGCATCATACAAAGCGGAGAAGAGTCTGAGGGCGAGAGCGGCGGCGTAGGCGATCATCGCCCAAGATGGGGAGAGAAGACAGTACAGAGGTTCCCCAATCGATTGGAGATCGTGTACAGCGAGGATACAACATTGAACTGCGGCTGTAAAGCAGTCTTCCTGGAGGGCGTAGGAGTGAATGGAAGAGGTATTTAGGGCAAAAGAGAGCATCCAGAGACGGTTATGGAGATATACGTATGTGAGGAAGGCTGTGGATATGTTGGGAGAGGGGTTGACGGCTTTTGAAGTGCATCCAGGGAGCCAGGTAACTCGCCACGGGTCTAGGGTCGAGTCGACAAGATCACGGACCCAGTGAGGGTTGTCGTGGTTGAAAGAGGCTTGCTGGTGCAGGATATGATGAAGACCTGCTAAATGTCGACGGAGGAGAATAAAGGCACATGTGTCCTTGTCGGTAGAATCGGCAAGAGGGTGCAGCCACCATTTCTCAATATTCCGGGTAAGGGGCGACTCGGGAAAGGCAGTTGCTCGTCCGTAAGCGGCGCTGGTAGCGCGTTCCCACAGTAGGATGCGCAGCCAGGTGCGTTCGTGATTACGCGCCTCACGCTGGGAGATCGAGTCGGAGGCAAGAGTGTTGAAAGGATTAACCTGGTCTAAGCCTAGCTCGGTGGCGACGGCGACGGCGTAGGAAGTATAGAGCCATGAGCGTTCCTCGGACAATGTCGGGGCAGGGGTAGCAGAGAGGAGCGAAATGTAGTATCCTTGTACGATTTCGACTGACTTGTACCCAGATGTGTGGACATGTCGTGAGAGGGTCTCGCCGTGAAGGCGCAGGCGTTTGGCGCACGATGCAGACTGATGATCGAATTGAGCCGTAATGGCTAGAATCCATGTGAAGAGGAGAGCGGAGCGGGAGCGCACATAGTCGACGGTGTGAAGAATTGGGTCCAGAATGCCGTTGATGGGGTGTAAGCGGACGAAATAGCTAGTATTCCATTAGCAAGAGGATTGTTAGGAAGTAGTGCACATACACTGAAAACAAACTATGCGCATCCTCTAACGATAACAGCCCCAGCTCGATAGGATCCAGATCTGGGCCAACATCTCGAGGTGGATCCGCATCAGGAGGTCGGAAATAGTTTGATTGGGACTGGATGGGTAGTGTGGAATCATAAATGGCATTGAAGCCCTCTTCCAGTGTGTGTCGACTTAGCTGCAGACCTAGAGACGCGCAGACTGAGCGCTGGAGGAGCTCCCGGCCTCCACTTGTAGTACATAATGAATCCAGCGACGGCGTCAATGGCTGTGCTGCGCTAGATGCGTCAGCCAGTAGTGCTAGTGGATTACTAACTGGCTCCTTTGGGGTTGGCAAGCCATCATGGTAGCTTCTCAATGCACCGTCTGTGGTTGGCACTGGCATTTTGCCGTCACTACCATGCTGCAGCTTCGCCAAGATGACTTGAAGTAACTCCTCTTGGCCCGTGGTATTCAACACCCGTTGTACCTCGTCAGCTGATACCGGTGCTTTCTTGAGCTGTACTTGCATCTTTCGATAAGACTTTTCGAACCCATTATAGCGACCAACAGCACCAGGCCTGCGACCCAAAGGACGGGGAGGGGGGATGTTGCAGCGCCGATTATTGCGTCGACAGCGGTCGCACGGCTCCGATAGATCGGGCCGGATACAGCGCATCTTCAGTTGACGACATACTTCGCATGCAGCTGCAGGGGGCCGGGAGGTTCTCCTATCTTGACTTGAACGAGTGCTTGGGGCCATAGTCAAAGAATCATGGGATGAGAGCTTCTAGGTAGTCGCAGGAAAATTGCCCGAATTACCGAGAAATTCTGGAGAAATGCGGGGAATCACGGTATCCGGACAACCCTATCATGGCCGGTTTCGCCACTTCCCATTCAGCATGGGCATGGACTGAAAGAAGCTGGTTGGGGTTCGTATATCTAGATTTGCTATCAGCTTGACCAAATGGCCATTCCCTATAACCCGGTCCTGTCATGCTCGTTCAGGCACAGGATGCCCGGGTGGGTCCTCCGGCTACTTAATTTAGCCACCGGAGGGTGGTTATATACCCGGCGGCTCGTCTTCAGACATCACTGCACACATACCTTTTTCTCATAGCTTGATTATCACAAAATGCAAACAATTACCGTTGATGCCCTCATCTGTGGTGGGGGCATGTCAGGCCTTGCCTGTGCCTCTTTCGCCGCGTCCTCCGGGGCTAAAGTTCTCGTTGTAGAGAAGCAGTCCACCGTGGGCGGGTCATCCAATTACTCCGCGGGGATGTTGTATGTTGAAGTTAGCACTTGTCAATAAAGAGGACACGTACTGATTGCGTTGGTGCAGTTGGGGTCCCAAGTCCTACTCAAGTCTGCGCTCCTGGGTACCATGGGGAAATGCCAATCTCCAAGCCGCCTGGATGCAAGACTACCTCCCGGCCGTACAATGGATGCGTGAAAATGGTGTCCCAGTGGCGCAGAGATTTGATGGGATTATGACAATTGGTATGTCA